TGACTCACCTATGTAAAGCTACTTAAAAAAAAAAAAATCGATCAAGGGATTGAGCTCATGCAGAAATGATACCCAACGAAGCATGTTTTTCTTTTTCGCAAGCGAGTCCATCCCTTTGGACTCACCTAGTTTACCCAAACTTTTCGCCTAGACAACATTGGCAAACTAATCATGATGGGCAAGAAGGATCACATGCTTGATCAATACGTCCCTAACTATATATTTGGATGAGAATGCAACTTCATCTACTTGAAGCTTGACTATCATGCTAGGCTTAAGGTGTTGTGTGCCATCATCAACGGGAGGATGGTTGTGCAAAATGCTAGTATTAAGATAGCTTATCTATTAGAAGCTATCAAGACTAAATAGCAAATAAACATAACTCATTTTGCCTATAATAGATTTGTGGCCAAAATGAAAAATGTTGCTTTACAAGTAGGCAAAGGAAGGCAAGTTAAAATGAGAGTCTTCATCTTTTTGCGGCACATCTACGAACATTACACATCTCAAGAGAATTTTGTGCCTCACTTTGCCATTAAACCACCACCTCTAGTATCTCCGGTAAGAGAGATAACTAAAGATGTGGATGTAGAAGAGAATCCCTACGATATAGATTCAAATGAGGAAAATTTTCTCCTCAAAAAGAAACTCCCCCTAGATAAAAAAATCCAAGCTATGAGACTTCCAAGGTTCATTCTATAGAAATTTAGTGGCCAGATATGCCGCAAAAAAGCTAGACACAACAAGTACATATAAGCCACAAATTTTTTCCTTTCCAATTTGTTAGTTTACCTTGTCTATTTGACCACCATTAGCCTTAGTTAAGTTTCCTTACTAAGGTTCCCACCTTTTGTACCAACTCCTACTTGGTCTTATTTGATTTCAACTACTCATTGCATGAGCAACGGAGTGTTAGCCATCTGTCCATAGATGTCGGAAATGTGACTTCGAGTATCAAAAGTTACCTGTCAGCTATCCTTTCAAATATTCTTTCTTTACTGCCATGACAGCAGGAGGTCGATATTGCACATAGGAATTTCGTCCTTATACTCATCCGGTCTAAGTACACTCAAAATGCCCAACTAACTCCACTAGCACAAGAACTGATAAAGGGTCCAACAATATCAACCTACTACCACTATGGCACTAAGGAAAAAATATCCAAAAGGACAGCCAATAGGTAACTTTCAATACTCAAAATCATATTTGCAACAATGAATTCCCAAATTCTCTCCCAATCCCCCCTCTCTGAGTTAGACTAGACTTAAGGTTCAGCTACACTCCCCACAAGCACAAGCAGCCAAACACACCAAGCCTCCAAGTTCCTAACATCCCTTGATACAACAAAAATTGATCATGGGACCCTTTAAATCCTAACTTTTTGGTGCATCATTTGCCTTGAGACCCTAGGGAGAAACACCATAACCTAATGGCCCAGTATAAGTACCTTTATTCCCCCCTTTACCATTGCGAGGGGAAGACCTAAGCCCCTGGGAACTAGGAAGGAGCAAGGACCAATGAGCTATAAGGTACTCAAGTGGGGCACCACTCCACATGAGCTAAAAGCACTGCAATCAATTTCCCTTCTGGGAGTGGGAGTTGCTCTTGAGCACTTCCTTGGATGGCTCCTCTAGCACCACCTAAGCCCATGCTCACTCTCACCCAAGGCCCTTAAGCCCTAGTCTCAACCTCATGTTGGTTTGGAAGCACCACTAGAGAGTTCCTTCAAAACTGGTTCTTAAACCTCATATCCCTACTATATTTTTGGAACCCCCTATAGCCCCTCCCCCCTCTTGGACTTGATCTCGGACTCAACCTCAGACTTGGTCTTGAACTCGATCTCATACCCGAGCTTGGACCCAAAGTCGGACTCAGACTTGGTCTCAAACTCGATCTTGGACTCAGTCTTGGACTCGATCTCGGATCTTGAACTTAGTCTTAAATTCAATCTTGGACTTGATCTCGAACTCGGTCTCAGAGTTGGTCTTGAACTCGGTCTTGAACTCGATCTTAGAGTCAGTCTCGGACTTGATCTTGGACTTGGTCTCATCCAATGAACTCTTTATCATTTCAATCATAGTTTCAGGGATCTTTTGCCTATGACACCTAGAGGAGTTGGTTCCTTACAGTACGGTGATAAAACACCACGCTCAAATCAGGAATAGAGTCGTGACATATCTGTCTATAGAGACAACTCTGATGCAATACAAATCTCTCTAAGCATCAAGGAAGTGATGAGTACACAAATGGACAACACTAGGCAAACAATGGACCCCAAACTTGTAGAAGAAATTCCACAACTTAGACCACAAAGTTTGATACAAGATACACCTATAGATATTGCAAAACCATTGGTTGTATATATAGCCAATGAGGTGAGTTTAGGCCAAGAAGATCATAGCCAAGAAACTCAAGGGGACAAAGAGGACAAGGTTACAAAAGAGAGTCTAGGTGAACCGAAGGAGTACAGGCTAAGTCTTCTTCAGTCCACCTACGCATTTGACAGCAACACACCTTCAGCCAAACAGTCTAGTGAGATGAGGTAGCCACAGCTGCAGCAAACACCACAGCAGCACTACAAGGTCAAGGCTAGCCACACCTTTGCTCACAAGTCTCTGAGTCAACCTTGCAAACTAGCAGTCGGAAGCTTCATAGAGGAGCTTGCTCAACAAATCAAGGGAAGCAAGCAGCCAATCAACAAGCCAATGCAGCTAGTAGAAGATGAAGAAACAACAAAATACCACACGCAGGTCTTGAGCTACCTCAAGACAATCACCAAGAAAGTGGATAGAGTCATGTGTGTATCTTCTCAAGTAGAGCAAAAAAAGAAAGCTTAGGCAAAATGGAGTTATGTCTAAGCATACGCATCTAAAGAAGAAAGACTCAACCTAGGTAACGCTTGTCATAAACAAGTAAGAAACAATTAGGAATGGTTACAAAATCATGTAGTATATAAATAGCACTTAGACATGTTGGAAAACACTCCCACTCACTGTTGTATGCATTTGCATTGAATTAACCATCTTTTCTCTCGCCTATGATTATTTGTGCAAAATAGAGTTGAGAAAGTGATATATGCTTATAAATCCTTACTCACACTTTTGGCATTCAAGGCTAAGTTCTTTTTTATTCTCTTTCTTTTCTCTTCTCTACATTCTTGTCTCTATTTGTTTATCACTATTTTGTACACAGGGGGCAAAAATGTAAGTATAGGTAGAAAAAGCCTTACTCAGTACTCAAGTGGGGCATAACTCCTCTTGGCCTAGAGTACCATAATTAGTTTCTCTTTCAGGAGTGGGAATTTCTCTTGAGCATTTTCTTGAGAGGCCTCCCTAGTACCCTTTAAGTCTATGCTCACTACTATTTAATGTTGATAGCCCCTAGTTTTAACCCCAACATGGTTTGAAAGCACCCCTTGAGAGTTGATTGAAGATTGAGTTCTTAGCCTCACTATCCATACTATAATTTTAGAATCCTCTACTCTCCAAAAGACAATTGGTTTGGGCTTTCAGCCCAGGATGTGTAATAGTATTCAGACTTGGATATATTGGGCCCTAAACATGTCCACCCTTTGATATATGTGGTCCAAACTTGGTTTAAACTCTTTATCATTTTGGTTGAGAATTTCTCATTCCTTTTCCTTCATCCAGAATAGCTGATACCTTTCACAGCCATAGTCTATACTACTGCAGCCATGGCCTAGTCATGGATTGAAATTTCTTTTTCTAGCATTTCTTCAACGAAAGAAATTTGAAAGGAGGTAAGAAACTAATTCTTATTGATTCTTTGTCCCTCTAGAATGACTGACTTCTTTCTAAGTGAGCAAGTATAGCTAGACTTGGGGGTGGTGTTGACATGTACTTCAAAATGGGAATTTTTATTGTTGCTTCAATAGGTTTGTTTTCTCATAGCATTATTTTTGTAGACAGCTTTCTTTGAGCAGTGCAGAGAATGGCAAAAGGAAGCTGGCATTGGAATTGATTGAGTCTTAGTAAGAAGTATACAGAAATGTCTGGGATGTCTCATCACATAAGATGCCAATCATACTCACTTATAGATTAGGCAGACGAGAGATTTGAAACTAAATATTTTGATTTGGAACTAATCTAATTTCTTTATTATAAAAATATTTTATATTTTTCTATAAATCTAGATTAATTACTAAAATGGAGAAGAATGAATTTAAACCAACGGTATAAATAAGGGTTCAAAACCAGGGTTCAGAAACCAACCATGGTTTAGGATTTTTCTTACAAAAACCTGGGTAGGTTTCTTAGTTTTGCATAGTGGACTTTATCTGAATGCAATGAATGCATTTTCAACACATCATTCAAACACCAGTTAAATAGAGGTGTTTGATGGAGCTGCAAGATTCACAAACCATAACAGTGCAGCACCCTGCAAACATAGAGGAAGTTCTTCAAGCTATGGCATATAATCCTAACCATGGTATGTAATGCCATCAAGAAATGCATGATCTACAAGTGAGCATCCTCTGTAGGCAATCCTAAGAACAGTGTCGGATGAAGATGAGGATTAGATTGATCAAGTAAACATTGCAACAAGTATTGCATGCCTTCTGATCTTAAGCAACCAGCTCATGCCAAAACCGACAAGGAAAACAATCACTCTCACAACCTTTCATCAACAAAAAATCATGCTGGTGACAAAAAGCTACCTGACATCTTCACCAACCCTATATGGCAAAAAAGAGGTATCTTTATATACTTATATCATATACTCTCTCTTACTCCTTTTTATAATTTTGAGTGTGTTGGCTAACAGCCAAGGACTGATTTCAAAAACACTAGCATAGCAATTTTCCTGCATGAAAATAAGAATTGCCATATAAAAAGAGTTTTGCTTGTGAGGTCTGTATGTATGGTATACATATATATACCATGTAGATATGGATCATATTAGATCTGATTTGCCACGTCAAGCAATCTGGACCACCATTGTCTGTAGCTTTACATCCCTCTTCTCTCACTTTTTCTTGATCACTCCAGAAATTCCATTGTCACAACACTACCACTTCTTGAGGTTCTAGCTGAGCCAGGCATTCCAGCTGAAAATATGGAGCCTCTGCTCGAAATGATGCTTCCCCTTGTTGATCCAGAAACGTTTGACTTTACACTTGAAGTGTTTGATGGCATTTTAAAGCCAGCGTCAGCAACTCGTTCTTGGATAATACGGCCTAGATCAGGGTTTTCCTGAATCACAGCCTTCAGCTTATATAAAACATCTGTTATTGTTTCTCTTGCTTCAGACAGTTGCATTTCCTTTGCAATGCGCTCAGCATCTAAGTCCCTATAGTGGACGAACTTCTTAAGTCAATGTAAAAGCTTTGATTTCTCAAGTACCCATATGATTCTTTCAGTTTTGATGCTAGCCTTTCAAATCGTACAGTTGCTCGCCGTTGTTTCTTGGTGTGCTCCTTGTTATCTTTTTCAGCTGTCTCAACTTGATGTTGGAGGATCTTCAAGGTCTCCAACTCATGACTCTCTTTTTCCTCCGTGGTGGCATTTCTCTGTTCGGCTTGATCAAATTCCTAAAAGAGCCACCATACGCATATGGCACTTGGAGCAAGTTTGGTGCAATAACTTACTTTCAGCAAAGCCCGCTCCAATTCTACCTTGTTTTGAAGCCGCTCTTTGGCTTGCTCAAAGACTACCTTCAAATGTGCTTTTTCATTCTCAAGCTTCAGTGTGTTTGCAGTCTTATGACTGTTCCTGTAGAGTGTGTTGGCGTCTTTTACATCTTCAAAAGCCCTTGCAAGAGACGAAACGTCTGCTTGGACCTGCAAAGTAAGATAAACAGTAGAAACCTAGAAATGTAAACAAATGTGTTGCATAAATAAAACCTATCTGACCTGTTTGACCTCCTGTTCAAGTTTATAGCCTTCTCGCTGAATTTCTTCTCGCTCCTGTGCAGCTTTAATGACAAAATAATTTGGTGACCTTTCTGCATTCTTTTCGATTTTGACTCTATTTAGTATAACTTCGTATTTGGATCGAAGCTGGGAAAGGAGAGTATGTTAGTACTCTCTATCAAGTACACTATGACCACCTTCTCAACAGCTACTGCCATCTTATTCCTTTGCATAAGCATAAAGTGCAAGTCATCTTGTAAGCTTTTTAATTCAGACATATGTCTTTCATGTCGACTACCAATCTCCCGTCGACATTCCTCCATACTCATCTGAAGTCTTCTTTTTGTGCTCTCCATTCCAAAAACGGCATCTTCAAATATATACAAACCGTATAAAGGAAAAAAATCATTTAAAGCTTATCATCCTAGTTCATACATCATACCGGCATTCTTGCTTAGCATTCCCTGGAGGCGATTAACTTCCATCTGCAGAAGATCACGCGAAAGCATCTTTTCTTCCTTTTCCTTTACAAGGTTCTGCTGGTATACTAATGTGAGTACCAGATTCACTCTAGCCAGTGATTACCTTGAGGGTATGAAGCCCTGTTTCTGACTCTAATGACAGTTCAGCATTCTTTTCCTCAATTTGATTCAGTTTTCTTGTTAATTCTTCACGTTTGCGTACGGCCGCTCTAAGATCGTCTTGAGATTTTTTGAGCTGAAAATACTCAATTATGAAAATTAACATATTTCATTGTCAACAGTACCTGCTGCAAAACAATCACCTCCTCTGCTAGTTTCTCCTGCAATTCCTGTTCAAGCTGCTGAATTTTTGCATTAAACTCACGAGCCTCCACATCACTTGTCTCACCACCGGCTCGGGCTACTTTCCTCTCAAGGCACTGTATCTGGAACTCGGCCGAGTACAGCACCTCTTCTTGCTTGATCATGCTCGATTCTAACTGATGAATCTGATTAGTCAGAGATTTTGCTTGAGATTTGGCCCCATGGATTTCAAATAGAATATCTTTCTCTGCAATATAACAACAAGTTTACACAAGAAAGAACACAGGTCAGGCCACCTTTCGCTTTCATGTCGTTTAGTTTCTCAGACTCCTTAAAATGTCTCTCGCGTAAGTCAGACACCTCTTTTCTTGCAACCTTTAGATTAACTTCCTCAGTTGCAAGGATTTTTTCAAGCTCATGTCTCTTCTTGTCCAGTGTGTCAAGAAGCATGTACTCATCCTCGACTTTTATCCTTAAATCTGCTAGTTTCCTTTCTACTAATTCGAGTTTCTTCCTCTTATTTACAAGGTCCTGTTTGAATAGACATCATTAGAAGCAATTGATAAATCAAATACAACTTGCCTCTTCTACTTGCGTTTTCTTAGCTTTCTCGTTTGCTAGATCATTTATTGCGCGTGTCACTCGGCTTTTCAAAAGTTCTAACTCTTCTTCCGCGTCTTTTGTGCTAAAAAACAATAACACTGTGTATAACAGCAGAAAATGAAGATCTATTTACTTGGAAACTCCAGTTTTGAGATCATCCCGTAATTTTGAAATGTCCTCTTCCACCAATTCGATTTGCCTGTCAAATTCCAGCTGACATACCATATCTATTAGACTAGAGCATTTTGCATAGCCAAAAATATCTCACATTTTTCTCGACTTCTCCATCTAGATTGGTAGACAGACCATCCAGCTGCCTTTTTTTGTGGCGAAGTACAGCTTTGTTTGCTGCAAACTCTTCGGCAGCTTTATGAATGCCTTCGTCACGCATATGGATAGCTTCTATTGTCTCCTCCCACATGACAACGAGCTTCTGTCTCTCATTTTGTAAATCTCTGTTTGATCATGAAAGAAAAATAAATAAATCGCTGCAATTCCACGTACTTGAAAACTTCTGCCGTTCTGTTCAGCTGAATCTGTGCACTCTGAGTTTCGGTAACTTCATCATCAAGCTGCTGCTGGAGATTATAAAGGCCTCCAGAGGCTTTTTCTAGTTCAAGGTAAAGCTCTTTGAGTTTAGAACTATCATTCTTCGTATAGCTCTGTAGTGCAACACTATCCTCGTCTTTCTGCCTAGCTGCTTGCATCCATTGATCCAGCTCTTCCTGCTCCCTACATGACACGTGTCAGTGAGATGATAACTAGACAAATCAGATTATCACAAGTGTTACGTCCTCATATAAGAAACTAAACCTGATTCCATTGCATCAAAAGTCGAAATTCGTCCATTTTTTCGTTACCACTATTGATAGCGGCCTTAAGTCCCCTCATGCGATCATTGAGTTCATCCGTGTCTTTCTCAAACTTACGAATCTCTCTCTGAAATAAAGAGTACGATAAATAAGGAACGGAATTAATTGAACAGTTCTTACCTCTAGCCTTCTCGCTTCCATTTCCGATATTTTTCTCAAATTCTCTTCCGTGAAAGCTTCTCTTCGTTTGACATCGGCTCTGAGCTGTGTAAATGTGATCTCTTGCCTTACACGTTTCATATGCTCTTCCATTATAGACGATCTTTCCTCTTGTTCTTCCACTAATTCCTGTACAAGAGAGACTAGGTAATTACTGCACTTTGACCGTTAAGTTTTATCAAACCTCAACATCACGAAGTTCTTTCTCAGCTTTCAATACATCTTTGTTAAGCGCTTTAACCTCATCACTTGCAAATCCTGGCAAGAAAGAGAGATCAATAAGACCACCCACACTCTCCTGCTTAAGTCCCAATTCCGAGACCATCTTCTTCATCTTCGACATTCGTCGTTTCATTTGAGCCTTGAGTTCTTGTGGCTGCTCCCCACTCGCGCTGGCAGCCTCAAATCCCACTGCTTTGCTCGGTGTTTTCTGTTGTTGAGGCATTGTCCATCCTCCACGCTCTTCCTTATCATCATTCTCCACACCCTGATTAACATCAGGTGCTCGCTCAGGTGGCGAAGAAACGCTCACTTCTTTCTCCGTCATTGCTTACAAAAAAAACTATGCACATGAACCTAACCCTAGACAAATATTCTTTCACCACATTTCACTGAGCTGAATACTTTTTGGCAGAGTTTTGATGCTGGAAGCAGATAAGTGACGGCAGAAAGTCATAGCGAGCAATAAAATTGTGCCAGTAAATTGGGTGGTCCATACTTTCGCTAATTTAGTGTACCAGTGTTCTGGCATTGGATGAAAAACGCTATAATTCTTTCTTCTTTCCCTCTTGGACAAAGGAAATAAATTTCACATGCACCAGCTCAGGACAGAACTTGCAACCTTCTTCTATTTAAAAAGATGCATAGCACTGGGATGGTTTTCTAGTGGCGAATGACAGAGCGGGCAATGAACCTTGTACTTGAGCTTGGAAGATATCATGAGAGATTTGCAGTAGCCGCACTTGACAAAATCTTCGTGCAAGATTTGAGTTCCACTTGCCATACATATGGGAAAAGTTGCCGTACATTTAGGTGTCAGACACCTACGCTTGAGTTCATCCTATAACGCAAGAAAAAAAACTCCTCTCTATATTTGAGATGTTTAAATCAGCTTTTACCTCCAAAGAGACTCCACACCTCAGGCATTTTCGTATTCCACTGCTTACTTTTGCATTACTAACGGGTTGATGCCTTGAAAAGATGGATGCTGCCATTTCTTTATAGTCCTTTCGTTCTTGTTCTGGAATGCTACGATTTAGCTCCAGCACAGTAAAGGCCCTGCTGCATTGCTCGTAATACTGTAAAACATTGACACATAATTAGCTATGCTTCTTAATACGACCAACTTACCCCACAGAAGTATGATGTGAGTGCAATCAGGGAGTATATACTATGCGGTTGTAACACGTCTTCATAATCTTTCAACCACCACGAAACCTGCATGACAAATGGAGACTTCCGCAAGCTCACAAAAGCTATTACCTTTGCCGCTTGTTCCATATTTCCAGAATAAAGCTCGCGGTGAGCAAGCATCCAAAGGTGGTATGCTTCTGCGTTGTGCCAGGCGTTCCGAATATCCCTATCTGAGCGATCTAGAGAGTCTGCATTGTGCTGCAACATAGAAGTAACAATAGTTTACAGATTACAAATATACCTGTAAATCCAGTGATCTTGCTATGTAAGCTTCCATTTCAAAGGCAGCAAGCACGTATATTTTTTTAACTTCCAATGCATGACTCTGCAAAATATTATCAGCAAAATATTGGGAACTGTTGGAACCTGCCTTTGTGAAAGAGATTATCTTGGCATGCTCATTGAGTAGGTTCACTACTTGTAAATGCTTCCCAGCCTTTTGGAGAACGTAAATAGCTGACACTGTGCTACCAGATTCTAAAAGCTCATTTATGAAGGTTCTGAGTCTTTCTTGCGTTTCTTTTTCACAATTATGTAACTCTGCCAGCTTGATTGCTTTCTCCCAATCATTCAATTGCAAGCAGCAGTTTAAAGCTCCCTTTATGTTACCCGATCTTGTAAAACCTGTGACCTAAAAAAAAACCAGACTGCTTCAGAAGTTTCTGAAAGTTGATGGCGTTATTACCGCATGCTCACAAACGCCAATGTTCATAAATTTTCTTGCTATAGATTCCAGAAGGGGCGAACCATGTTCAACATGGTCCATAAGTTTTTGCAGTTTGGTCCAGTGATGAAGTTCAGAGTAACATTCGGCCAACATCTGAAAATTTTTTGCTTTGCTATAATATCTTGCAGCGTCATTCCACTTTTGCGTGACAACAAAGTGATCACCGATATTGTTCCAGGTTAGCTTCAGAAGTGAGTTGTTCCCAGGAAAGTTTTCCAAAAGCTTTTCCACTCTGAGACCAGAAAGAAGTTAAAAACTCTCTATAGAAAAGAAACGTATTACAGGAACCAATCCCCAATTTTCATTCGCATGTGAATGGCAAGATCCTTCCTATCTATGTTGATATAGATTCTTTCAGCATCCTCAAACCTTCTAAAGTACGCACATACCTGAGATAGTCGAGTTAGCGATCTAGAGAGAAGTCGATTGCAACAAACCTCTGCATTTTGCAGGTTCTTGTCTCGAAGAGCTTCGACTTTCTTAACAAACTGTATGCCATAGTAGTTTTTGCACTTTACAAACGCCTGCACCAAAATTATGGTGAAAAGACGTATTCTTGGTCATATTTACCTTTGCAGCAACACTGAAGTCAAGGTGCTCCAAAGCATGTTCAGCAAGGGATGTCCATAGTCGTGGATGTCCATGCTCTTCTACATAGCTGTAGGCGTCTTTAATTTCAACCGCTTGGAGAATTTGATGTGTATCACGTAAGGATTTGGTCTCATAACTGAAAATATGGGCTCTTGTTGGCTGCTCTGGCTGTTGCATAACATCGTCAAGCCGAATTGCTAACACCTGTAGCAGTTGTTGCTGAGTAAGACAGAAGAAAACATAGCACAGCACCTGTAGGTTGTGAAAACTACAAAAATATGCATTGCAAGAAACAGGCTCTTCAAGTTCGGTACCCCTAAGAACGTACATCCGAGATCTTTCCATTATCACGATCAAATCTGGATTGTCATCCGCCCATTTCATATTCCATACAGCCTTACGTTCGAACTCTGACTTTCGGTCCTGAAACACATCTCAATAGTGCTTGATTGTGTAACTCATTGCAGTTACCATGTGAACATTATTTCGGAAAGAAAATGATCCATCAACATCAATTACTGCTAATCTCGTGGAGTCACTGTTCACGTCAATAGCTGGCCATAGAACACAGAGAAAAAGATTAAAAATATGGCAACTGATACCTTACCTTGAGGCCTGCATTCTAAAAACATCTTCCCTGCTAATTTATGTGAAGGCAGTTCGTACCAGTGTAACACACCGGACTCACAGCCAATCCAGAAGTTTGTCTGTGAGCAGAAGACGCAACATATTTGGTCCATCTTGTCCTACCAGAAAACAAAATATGTAGAGTCCATTTGTAAAGTTATATACCTGATTGATGCCTGTATTGATTTTCCAGTCCAAACAATATGTATGATCTTTGGATTCCTTGCTTCGATCATTGCTGAAAGAACTTAGCAGTTGTTTGGAAGATAGTAATGGTAAAGAATCTCGATAATTCCATACATACACATCAGTTTTGGATGCCACAAAAACTTGATTCTGAATAAACAAAATAAAGCTCTTTAGTCAGGCCTATTCCCATATCTTACTTCATTCATAGTCATGAGGACTGGTTCTATGGTCACGTGGTTTGACTCGAGAGGATTGCCAATGGCATTGCAAAGTATAAGAATATATTGATTAGGTTCCTCTTCCTGATATTTGAAAAAAACGAAAACTGATTATTCCTTTTATCAATAGCCTAGTACCTTTGTAGCCAAAACACAATGGCCTCCTGAACCGCACACGGCACAAAGTCTGTTGACGTGTTTCAAGTACCTGTAACCAACAGTAGCTCTCTGAGGACAAAACACACAAAATGAAGTAACTGCAAATAATTAACCTGTCACCAGTAGCTACATCCCAGAACATTACACAGTGCTCATCAGGGTGCTTTTTTTTAAAGCTATATACACATGTACTTTGGCCAATGAAAGTCCACTTGTAGTCAGGCCTAATACTTGCGAGGTATATGCTTGCATCCACTCCAATTGCTAACGTCAAGCCAGTCCCTTCCCATGTCACTGCCCTGAAAGTGAGAAAAAACAAAACCCTCTGTGTCATCTTTCAATGCATTGTACCTGACTTTGGTGTTTGGCACGTGAAGGGTTCTCAAGTGAAATCCCAGTGGGGAAAAGAGTTTCACTATTGAGTTAGTATCCTCCTGGGTTCTTGA